CCGACCCCAGCACGGTGCCCGTGCCCTTGTAGTCCTTGATGGCAAGCGGCGACGGCGGCGCTGTCGCAAAGAGTGGCAGCGACTCGGGACTGATCTGGTGCGTCGGCGACATGACGTACTCGCCCATGGACACGGGGTCATGCGGCGTCGATTGCCTACGCAGAGCGCCGTGAGATGCTTCAGTGGCTAAGATGACGGGCGAAGTATTACGCGGTCGCGAGCTGTGGGGGCGCCATGAAGAAAGGTCGATTGGCTGCTTGAAGGATCCTGCCACGGATATCACCCATTGCGGCTTGCCGCGGATTGGCTGGCCACGGCCAATCAGACGTCTGGATTCAACGGTATCATCACGTGCACTGCGATTGGTGCATCGAATTCTGATGCGGCCAATCACTTGCAAGTTGCCGTTTCGTAGCCAATCAAATGCGAGGCTCCAAATCCACCGAAGTCGTGGCCCCCCGCAGATCGCGAATTCCGAGCGACGTGCGATGGCCATGGCCGTCGTGCGACGTAATGCGCGCCGCCGGCGTGGCATCTCGACAACGAGGCGCAGACAAGCAGCCTATTGAGCCCTTGGATGTAGCTTTCCTGGGCCTGTATCGAGCGCTTCCACTGCCGCATGGACGAGAATACTCGCGCGAGGACGAAGGTCGTCGTCGTAAGCGTGGTATCCCTGCAGCGGTGCGGCAAAGCTATGCTGCAACTCGTCGTCAATACTCGGCAATGCGACAGCTGCAGTTATGCGGTTCTCTGACGTTGACGCGACCGACGCACCGCGGCTGCTTGCCGTCCAAGGCTCGGCGGCCAAAGCCGTCCACGACCAAGGCCACACCAAGTGCCAAGAAGCCCAACTCCAACACGAAGCTCCCTGCGATCGACCCGAGTGCAGTCAGCTCAACAACTACTCCGTCCATTGACGCCATCGCTAACGTCGTTGCGCCAGAGAGGTTACCGCCCCTCGACGCACCGCGCAGTGATGCAGCAAGTGCTACGGCACCAGTCGACGCGCCTGCTCGGACCTCGGGCACAGAGCCCGATGGTATCGCAGCGCTAGGTGGCGTCGAAACGGGCGACGTCATTTTGGTCTACGAGCTGTACCGCGAGCCCTTTCCCATCGAGAACGGGGCAATCGCAACCAGTGCTATCGACGACGCATATGCGCTATCGTTTGTGATGCCCGCTTGCCACATCCACCTCTCGGTGCATGCCCCCGCTGAGAAGCGAGAGCGCGATATCCAAGGCGACCCCGTCTACTTGCCCGAGATAGCTCCCGGTATCATTGGCACTCTCTGTGCCAACGCAACGTACTACGTTTACGTGACCGAGGACGCAGCGACTCTGCACGCGGTACCTCCATCAACGACGCAACGCGCGTCCTTTGAAGAGCTGACGCACGGCGATGGCCGCGGCTTTGATTCGTGCACGTGCATTGAAGGCATGCCGTGCGTCGATGAGGGCGGCTGCCGCAACTGGCGTAGTCGCTATGCGATTGCGACGGAACATGGTTGGAAGGGATTTGGCTTGGAAGGGAGCTTGGAATAGTAAGTTAACATTAGTATTATATATACGGCAAATGGAACCGCGCTACGCAAGGGCCGGGCATAGGTAGTGGCAGAGACGGGTGTGCATGCGCTGCAATCGGGACGGACGACCCGCGTTCGCCGAGTGGGGCGCAGGCACGTAGATCGAGTGCACCGAGTAGAGGTCTCGCGTCGGGCACGTCGCTTCGTCAACGGCCTCGTGCCAGTTGAGGAGCGTGGCCTCGAGGTGCGCGACCACGTCAACATGGCCAAAGTCGGCAGCGTACGCAAGCGCTTTCCGCAGTGTGCGCGGCGAGACGCGCGGCGCGAGCTCCTCGACGATTTCCAAATGGCCTGCCGCTGCGCCGTAGACGATGCTGTCGCACACGCCGTCGTAGTGCACAGTGGCGGCGCGACGACCGAGCATGTACTGCAGCATAGCGACGTTGCCTTCGGCCGCAGCCGCCTTGACCAAGCTCGTCGTGTGGCAGGGCACGTTGTAGCGCTCGACGAGAATCTGCAGCACGTCGAGCCGGTTGGCGTCAATCGCGCGCTCGACGTCCGCCACGGACGGCACGATCTCGGGCTTCTCGAGCAGCATGTGCTCGTGGCCCGCGGCAAGCATCTCGAAGGCGTTGTCCCAGTCGCGAAACGCCTTGCCGGGGAGGAAGGTCGCGATCGAGAGGAGAAGCTCCGGGGTGCCGAGGACGAACTGCGCGCTGTTGTGTACCATGGTCTCTGTTTGCGACTGAGGCTCAAGCGCTCATGGTTGGTGAGCAGAGAGCGCAAAATACGAGACAGTGCCCCTTTCCTCTGCCATCGTCGATGACGTTGCTGCTCGGTCTCGCGATATGAAACAGACAGCCGAATGGATTTGGTTTGAGGAAATAGCTCATCAATTGACGAAGATGGAGTTATAAATCAAAAGAATTTTCGTACGGTACACACCCTACAGGCTCTACAAGCTTGCCACGTTTGGCGCCAAGTGCAATCAAAAGTGCAATGTGGATCGAATGATGATGCGGACCCGTCGATTGTCAACATTTGAGATGCACAAGCCTGCCACTTGTACACGTTTGAACGCACCTTGAAGCGATGGCGTGCTACTTGCCGAATAGCTTTCCGATCTAGCTATTCCAAGAATATGCACTGCTGCAGTGCACTCCCGCGAAGAGCTGCACGACGCTCGAATGTGCAAATCAGAAATCAGATCTGTGCGGTATCCGGATATCCATGTGCCAACATGGAGTCCTGGATCGACATCACGGGTATACTAGTACCGGTATTGGATCGTCTCGAGTTTCATTGCTCAGCGCGATACAAGACGCGAAGACTTCCATCTTGTTACTTGCAAGTTGCCGTTGCCCGTATAGACCTTCCAGCATGCAGCTTGCCAGCGCGCCGACTGTGCAGAATCACACCACTGGCTTTATGCGGACGCGTTCGATGCGCTGGATCCAGTGCTGTACGTTGTGGATTCGTAGTTCGAAGAAGAATACGTCACATGATTGGTGGAAATTCGAAGCAATTTGCTGTCCCACGACGCACTCGAAAAGGTCATGGCGAGCGTCCTCGCGTCGACCTGCGCCCAGCGCACGGCGCTCTTCGCCAAGTCGCTCGACGCGCTCTCTTCGTACAGCGTCTGCTCCATCGTGAAGCAGCTTGGCGCCAACAAGTTTGATTCGAAAGCGCTCCAGAGCAACGACTGCAAGAAGCCGGCGTGCGTGAGCGTGCTCGAGTCGTTCAAGTCGACGTTTGTCGGCTGCATGCTCACAGACATTGCCGACGTGGCGTCCGTCGACATGGCGCGACTGAAGAGCTACTGCGACGGCATTGATGCGTCCTATGCGCCGGGCGCAGCGTTGCCGCAGCCGCTGCCGGAAGCGCCACCGCAAGACGCGGCCGTCGACAGCCCCATGCGCGGTGGCCTCAGTACGACGATCATCATTGCCATCACTTGCGTCGTCATCGCTGCGATCATCGTCGCCGGCTACGTCTATTTACGCATTCGACGCGGCGCGACCTCGGCGACCTTGTACACGTCGCCGCCGCCGATGCAGACGAGCAGCGATCCATATGCGTCCGTGCTAAAGCACGGAAACGCCGGGTCGCAGTCCAACACGCGGACGAGCGAAAGCAGTGTATCGAATCCTGGCGCTGATGCCTCGACCTTGGACTTGTGTGATCTCGACCTGTACCGCATCTCGCCGCGCGACGTCACGTTGGACAAGTCGCTCGCTCAAGGGGCGTATGGCGAAGTGTGGCTCGGCACCCTCGATGGGCACACGGTTGCCGTCAAGAAGCTTTTGAACCATCGGCGAACGCGGGACGAACTGCAAAAGTTCATTTACGAGATTGCGCTCGTCGCCAAGTACGTACCTCTTTACACATATATCGTATCCACGCCATATCAACCATATACTGTACACATAGGATGGAGTCGCGTTACGTCGTCCAGTTTATCGGCGTCGCGTGGACGCGCCCGAGCGATATGATGCTCGTGACCGAATACATGGATGCGGGGGACCTCCGGCAACCTCCTCCAAGCGACGGCGACGACCCGCACGTTCACATGGAGCAAG